GGAGAAGATGCATCAGATATGCAGAAGTCCACGTTAGTATTTATCCATGGTCTTTGTTCTGATTCCTCATTTCCCCTTCTCAAGTGGTTAGAATGACTGACAACGGCACTGCTTTATGGATGTCCCTGTCGACAGTCCTTACGCTCCATAAAACAAACACAGAAAACACAGACTGCTCAGGCCTTCTCCCCCTGTGAAGTGTGTCTACCATAACCTAGGATTGTCAGGTAGACTGTACAGGAGTTATCACCATCCTAGCCCACAACTCCCTAGTAATCGCTCTCGATCTGGTGTCTCTGCTGTCAATGATATCACTGCGTCACCCACAAAACTGTGAACAGAACATCTAGAAAGTGTAAAATCTCCTAAGAGAATTATGCTACGTTAATGTCTAGTTAGAGTGAAAATAGTCTCTTGTGTATATAACAATCAATGCTGCATGCTTAATTACTGCTTACAGCGTGGGAAACTGAAGCGGCCCCACTTCCTCACCAATCAGATACTGTTCAAACTGCGCTACAATCGCTATCATAGTTTCATCAAATTTCTTATTCTACTTCCGACCCAAGGATATGTCTGTCTATTCTTTGGTCAAAGTCATAAAAGCCATTGTCACAATATAGTATGTATAGGTGAGGTCCTTTAGTTTCCCTTACTTTTTTATATTTAATAATAATAATAATAAGTCTTGTCATGGCTGTGACTACACCTGTGCTAGAATCAAAGCCGAAAGTGGTAGCCGGATGTCAAAATGCTGCCAGTAACCATCTGAAAGAGCAGCGATCCCACATCTCCCCCAGATGAGAATTATTAGCAATAAGCTAAGAAAATACTGCCTTAAAAAATGGAATTGAGTGCCCATGAATGAGTATGGCCACTCAGATCCTAAAAGTAGCTTACTTTACTGTACCTTACGAACCCAAAATAAGCAACAAGTTTGGCCTTCAATCTAAGACCAATCCTTACTTGCTCTGGGTCATGGAGGTAGTATGTTGGACAAACACTCTCCTCTTTGGGTACAATGACACAAAGTGTTGTTCTGATATGGTAGTCACTGTGTGCCTGGCACCGTCCCAAGCATTTAACCTAGAAGAACTCACTTGGTCGTCCTTATACGACTTGAGGCAATTACTGTTATTACACACATTTCCAGAGATAGCAGAACTTCAGAGAATTTGAATAACTGCTCAGTGACTAGGTTGATAAATGGTGGAGCTATAATTTAAACCCATCCAGAAGTCTGGCCCTAGGATGTGTGTTCTCATGAGTGCAAAGAATGGTTATTATTAATTGCTCTTGCTGCTGTCCTGCAGTTAGCGAGAGAAAATGCACCGCGGACCATTTTCAGAGTACAAGTCTAAATTTTATATTCAAGGCAAAGACTGTCTTACTCATCAATGAGTTATATTTAAGCAGTGTTTATTCTTATACAATAGTTATGTTAATTTGTTTCAGGACTGTTAGGAATAGGGTACAAATAAAAGATCCATCACAGTCTCCATGAACGTACACGGATGCATATGCAATAGCTACACCTATAGGGCATCCAACAATTGTACCATGTGGGGTCCCAGCGTGTGTAGCATCACTAACACTAGACCTGGGGAAGGAATTCATATTAGTTTAACCAAGTGGAGAAAGCAAAGAGAGTGGTCCGTGTTAATCATCTCTGAAGATGCTGGGTCTTGTACTATATATATGTTTATGCACGCTGTTGCATTTCGTTATTAGAATCACTCGCTGAATTTGTATTATTCTCAGTTTAAATATAATGTCCCACAATGAAATACTACTATACACCGACTGAAAAGGCCAGAACCCAAAATATGGATAGAATCCACCGCAGGCAGGCAGAGATGTGGAACATAGCAATCTTGTTCATTGCTGGTGGGACCCACAGATAACTTTGGAAGACAGTTAAACACATTCCAAGCACACTGTCCAACACATGTTCCTTGTTATCTAGTCAAATGAAATGAAATCTAAGTTGACGCTAAAACCTACACACAGCTGCTTATTCACACTTGCTAAAACCTGGAAGCAAGTGAAATGATCTTCAGCAAGTGAGCGGATGGGTCGCCAGGTTTATATGCAGACAATGGGATGCTAGTCAGCCCTAGACAGACATGAACTAGCAAGCCATGCAAAGACAGGGAAGAAACTTAATTGCTTATGACTGAGTTGAAGGGCAAATTAGTGTGAAAAACTACGTAATGTATGGTTCCAACAAGACAATCTAAGTAAAACGGATCAGTGTACATGGCTGGGGAGGGAGGGATAAACGAGCAGCGCACAAAGGACTTGAGAGGCGGTCAAGTTATTCTTCGTGGACTTATAATGACAGAGGCCCCCCATTATACATCTGTCCATGCTCGCGCAATACACATCACTGAGACTGGACCCCAGTGGATAGAGTACCGTGAATGATAATGATGTCTTAATGTAAGACCATCAGTGGAACTAAGGTCCTCTTCGGGTGAAAATGCTGATGATACGGTTGCTGGGAAACAGTGCATGGGAAAGCTCTACTTTCTGCTCCATCTCCCCATCAACTGAAAACCTTTCTGAAAGATGAATGGCGTCTTTCCAAAAACAATCTCCGAGATCACCTCACTCTTTTAAAGAAGAAAGGTAGGAGGGAGGGAGACAGGGAAGGACAGAAAGGCTCCATTAAGTCGGAATTCATCAAGTCATTCTACAAAACTTGACTTTAGCTATCACCAAAACACCTTAGTTTCTCAAGGCTGCCAAGAGCTCTCAATTTTCCTTCAGCATGTAGATAAGCTAGAATACTTTTATCTAGAATTTTTCTGAATTCTGATATATTTTTATACTATAAGGAATTCAAATGGCTGATTAGTTTTGCAGTTGGGAAGGCAAAAATAAATAAATAAAATAAGCAACCCACTTTAGCCAGGCAGTGGTGGCACACACCTTTGATCCCAGCACTCCGGAGAAAGAGGCAGGGAGATCTTTGTGCGTTTAAGGCCAGCCTGGTCTACAAAGTGAGTTCCAGAACAGTCAGAGCTGTTACACAGAGAAACCTTGTCTGAAAAAAAAAAAAAAACAGAAATAAAAATCCTACTTTAACTATGCTTTCATTATTGGGGCAATTGTTCGGTGCTTGGGAAAATCCTCTCAGATGAGCATTTTCCCTGGAGAGAACCAGTCTCTGTGTTAAGCCGAATGAGCAACAACCCCCTGTATCGGGAACAGAGTTTTGAGTCTGTTCTCAGAAGCACCAGAGTCAGGGGTTTAAACTGTGAACCTAGGAAGAAAAATATCAGTGAGAAACTCCCTTTAAAAGGCAGTCGCTCTGGAAATATGCTGCCAGAATCAGAATTAGGAGAGAATTGGATGCCAGAGAAGGTAAATTGAGAACGAGAGGGACAAAGAGAGAAGATAGAGCATGATCTATAGTGGACCTGCTTGCGGTGGGAAGACAAAGAACCTAGGAACACTCATTTAATAAATGTTGCATGGATTCTCATGTGGGCATGAATTCCCTTTTGCTATACCACCATCACTGATTGCTGACTTAAGTCATCTTAAGTAACATACGTGAAGGTGGTGGGGATAAAGATTGGACCTGGGGAAAGAGAAGCAAGCAGGCAGGTACACGATCAGGAGCAGATGGGAGCCAGCAGAGCCCAAGCAGAAGATGCCAGGAGAGAGAGGATCATGCCAGTAGGAGGTGGTAACAGAACCCAAGCAGCATATATGACTGGAGGGGTCTACACAGGGGTCTCCCATCTCTGCCACCTCCTGCAAGAGGCCTAGCTGATTAATAGAGCAATGCATGCCAACATTCATGTCTCATTGGCTTTTTAAATAGCGCTTGTCACTGCTCACTTCCTTTCTGGCTTTCTCATCATACAGTCTAGTAGTTCTCAAGTGACAATGATCTTGCCTGCTGGGATCCATCTCACAAATTCTGGTGACATTTTGGATGTCCTAACTGAGGGTGTTCTGATCAAAATAGGGTGGGAAACGTCAGAGATTCTGCTTCCTAGTGTGCCTACGTGCCCTTCTCCAGAGCAAGAACTGGCTACCCCCAAACATCAGTAGTTCTAATTGAGGAATACAACAGAAGGAAATGCACAGAGGAAAGAGAGACAAACTTGTGTTGTGTGTATCTGCAACACTTCTAGTAAGACACAGCCCATAGGAGGGGCTCAGGAAGGAAATCAAAATGTTAGCCCTTAAGTCTTCCCTTTTTTTTCCAGCTTGAAATAAGAATCAGCGTATGCTTCCAGCTATGTGTCTGTCTTCAAGTTTGCATTAGAGAGATGGAAAAGACGGGAAGGTCTCCCTGCGCTGCATCCTGACCAGGTGATCTGCCCTCACATGATTTCCCGCTATTTAATCTACACACCTGTGAGGATGGGATTAGGACTAACAGAAATGTTGCAGTCAGTATAACAACCATTTGATTGGGGTCCTCTCCTCTTTTAGCTGAAATGATTGCCATGTGCTTGAGTGAATAATGAACTCAACTGAGTCTGCAAACCCAAAGGGTCCCAAATTCTTGTAACCGAGAACAACCAGAGAGCCGCCAATGCTCTACCTTTTCCCACGGGTACCTGGCCACTTTTCCAGGAATGCTGTTTCTGTTTTGTGCTCCGGACTGTTTTAAATGACCTTAGCAGCAATGTAGCACAACTCAGCACATCTTTCCAGCATCCCAGAAAACCTTCATTCATAGTTCAGAATTTAAAGAAAAAACAAGACCCAAAGTAAGGATCTGGAAGGGAGAAGGCAAATTCAATGACAGAACACAGTTATTGTTACATGTCCCCAGGCATTCTCCTACTTATAATGTAATATCTTCATTTTCATATACACACTTACTTGGGAACGCCACATGATAGCTAAGAAAAAATGCTCTTAGATTAACCACTAACAGATTCAACCATGGCAAGCCTGATGCCCTCCCAGAACATCACTAGTCCATATAACCGGCCAAGACCAAGAATTTACCCAATGCCCGTTTGTGTTACCTGGTTTTCTTGTTGGTCCCACAGGCATAACTGTAGAACCTGAGCCAGTTCCTGTCGCTGCTGCTGCAAGTACTTGTCCAGCTGCCGTCTCCTGTCTTGTAGAAGTTCTAGGAGGCTGTCTATCTTCAAACAGCTGCTCTGAGCTCCCTGAACCAGCTCAGCATTCACATCAGATCCGTCACACTTGAATTTTTCTATGAAGTCAGTCAGTTGCTGACTTTTGTTTAAAAGGACTAGCGATTTTTCTAAGAGTTCTAGAAGATAATCGGAAAGAAAAATAATGCAGCAATGAGCATTTGTGTGGTTGTATTTTTACTCTTCATTTAATTTATATGTATAACATATTAATGATAAGCTACACTGAAAATAATTTAAATGTATAAATGTCTAAAATGCTTCGGGATGTGTATGGTTTTTGAACTCCCATGGGATCCAACACATGTGTCTGTCAAATTGACCACCAGCTGTTAGCTCTGTAGTGACTGTATTGTATATTACAGAATGGGGGTTCGAACCCTAAGAGCTGAAGAACCACCAAGAAGAAAGAGTGTTGCGGGGTAGGAGTGGGGAGCAGTGCTCTGAAGGTCAACACTTCAGCGTCAGCTAGAGAAGCAGTGAAGAAGTCCCCACGAGCTAGGAGCTCCCCTTGCCTCCCCTTCAGTTACTTGTCTGTCTTACACTGTCTCCCGGTGCCTGGATCCGTCTACTTCTCTACATCTCATGATGCAAATGTCCCTTGGTGCTCGGACTTGCAGAACCCTCTCGACAGCATCCTCTCTAACCCACTCACCCACTCCTCACCTTTACCCACGGAGATCTTTGCACATACACTCTGTGGTATGTGATTCCCCCCCCCCAAACTGAAACAGTTATTCCTGAAGGCAAAAGGAAGGCTCCTAAGACTCGGGAAACTAAAATATTTCTGAAGTCCAGGGAGCTCAGTAAACTCACCAGACCCCAAGAGCTCTAAAGTTAGAAGACCCACAACCTCTGAGCCAGTACAATATGACGACAGGACCCTGGGTTCCCCACAAGGAACTGTTTTAAAAACATTGCTCCATATCATTGAATTCTAAAGAGAAAACAGTTATCAGAAAACTGTTTTCTGGGCTGGAGAGGTGGTCTTCCAGAGGACATGAGTCCAATTCCCAGCACCCACATGGCAGCTCACAACTGCCTGTAATTCTGGTTCCAGGGGACTATGGCAAAACACCAATGCACACAAAATAAAAATAAATAAATTAAAAAAACTATTTTCTAGAAAAAGACTAACAAGCCAAGGTTAGCTCAAAAGACTAACAAGTCAAGGTTAGCCCAAAAGACTAACAAGACAAGGTTAGCTCAAAAGGAGAGGAAACAGTTGAGGCTGTGATAGTCTTCAGCTATCCAAAGCATTATACTCTGGTGGAACATTCTGGAAGCCAGAAACTCCAACCAGTCACCCTATTCTGACCTAAGCCACAAGGCACAGTGGTCACCCAGGTGAAGTTAAAGAAGTAAAGGGACAGTTGAGGCAGTTTCCTCATAGCTTCCAGTTACATTTTGCTATCATGGCATTCACTCCTATACCGTACCCTCAACTGCTCTCCAACTAAGAACTTTATTGGAACTGTTAACTCACATTTTATTCCCTTAAATCTAACGATGATGATGATAGACACAAAGCCCTTGACTAGCAATCAGAAATCTCATCCATTAATATGCACTTCAAATCGTTCCATCGTGACCACATTCCACTAACTGGCTGATTAGTATAACTCCCATGTTATAAAAACAAAGCTCTTGAAGGCACCGCTGGGCCTTATTCATCAGGAACCAGCTCTTCTGATCACTGACCCCTACAATCCTTCAAGTGTCGCACAGAGGGGCTTAAAAATATCCCAAGATTTATGCCACCAAAGGCAAAGTGTGCTCCCTGTGTCCCTCTAGCATTCTAGCCATCTTGTCGACCCAAGAGGCCGCTCAGGAGACTTGCAAAGATTACTGAAAAGTAAGGCACGGTTTCGTTGTCAGCTGGATGCCAGGACGGTCCAGCCTCAGGCTTCCTTAGAAAGACTGTCGGCTTGCTCTTTGTGTTACGCAGCCTATCACATCTGAAGAAGCCAGCAGAAGCAGAAGGGGGAATACAAACACTGTCTGTCTCCTCTTCCAGCTCCAAAGATTCATGGGAAAGGCCCCACTTCCACGGGGTAAAACCACACGAGTGAAGTTGCTGTGTGATGATCATGGTGGCTGGGGGAGACTGCGTTGAGACCACAGAACCCATCGAGGCCACAGGACTGGGCTCTCTTCTAGTCCCCTACCAGGGATATTAGGCGATTCAGTGCTGTCCCAGGGGGCCCAGCCACATAACTGCGGTCATGTCAAAACAGCCAACAGCCGGCTGACGCTTTAGTGCTGAGTCTGCTGTTTCTATCTTGTAGTGACAGGTGCGGAGGACAGATCACCAGGAAAAAATCCATCCCTGCATTTGGTAGGCCGCTACCAAAACTTACACTGGGGAGACTGTTATTAATCACTTTATTTTGGGAAACTTGCAGCAAGCGATAATAATGAATAACTATTTTATAGAGATTCTGGAGAGCACAGAGCACTATAAGGTATGTGTATGTGTCTTTAGAAACACACTTTATTACTTTAGCCCTGTTCTATTTTTCCAGCATGGTCAAACGTTTTGGGGATCAAAGTCAATTAAAAAGTGACAAAGGCTACAGAGAAAGTCTGTCTATAAAACCAAAATAAAACAAAACAAACTATCGAAATTTGTGACAAATCTATGAAGCCATTTAACTCAGATCCAGTCCATATTTTTTAAAAAAAAATACATTACAAAGAAGCAAAGACACCATCCTCACCCATTTATCTACGTTATCTTCACAGGTGACGCATTCCCTACACCAGTCAGGCTAGGTTCAAGACCCCCTGGGTGAGGACCTGGCACATACACTATGCTACAACAATTCAACTGTTGCTATTCGATACTCTGAGAGCAGAAAATATTCTGCATGATGTTTTACTGAACTTTTATCTAGAAAAGGACCCTGTTCGTTTTAACCGTAAGGATAAAAGAGAGGCTTCTTACTCACAGTTGGTGTCTAAAGGCTGGCTTGCATTTATCGACCCTTAGATGGGACATGGACTGAATTCAGCCAGTGAGTATAGCTGAAGGGTCCACGGGACTGCGCACCTGGTTGGATGCTGGATGCTGGGGATGGAGGTGTGCACGGGAGAGAGGCAGCCTCTGTTCTCAGGGATGGAGATCTACAAGACCCACAGCTAACCTTTCCCTAGTGTCACTTACAACTAGAACTTTCTTTGAGAAGGTGGCCAAAAGCAAAGCTTTGTTTATCCTTTTTGGAACAAACTAAACAGCAGAAAGATCTCCAAATACTGTCATTCACAAGAACCTATAGCCATTTCTTGCCTTTGGCGTGGCGGTCATGAAGCTGAAGAAGCGACTGTAAGGCCTCGGTGCTCTCAAACTCATGTGGATTCTGCAGAAAAGCTTCAGTTTGGTCTATTTTTATAGCAAACTGAAAAAAAAATAGAGAGAGAGACATGAAAATGATAAAAAGCAATGGAACATTTATTATATTTATGGATTTTTGTCATGCATTAATGGCCTAGCTGACTCAATATGATGGGAAGATATATGTTAGCATGTTCTAATCTAGAATAGTATGCATGAATTTTCATGTACTAAATTTACAAAATGCCATGGCTTCTCTTCCATTTTTATTTCTTTTCTAACTAGAAACACACTGTATCTGCTAAAAAATAAACCACCTTTTTTATGTTCAAGTATCTAGTAAGTTTTTCAACCAAAGTTATCCTTTCCAGATTCTATCTTCCGTACAGCCATAAATTCAGTTACTATCAATACTCTAAGGTAGGTTCTCAGTGAATAGCCAGAAAACTTGCTGGCAAAAATCAGCAAAAGATTGGCTAAGAAATAATCCATAAAATCACAAGTAAATTTAACATAGAGAAAATGTAGGTAAATATTGTGTTATTTTTTTTCTGTGTGTTTAAACTTAGGCCGATACTATAAATATTTGTGACTAACAGTCTAATTTCATCGAAGAAAACACACTCGGGCATGCATGTGCATGTGCACACACATGTAGAGGAAGAAGAGATGGGAACTAAAAAGAAATCTACCAACATTAGATAATTAGGTAAAACATTCACCTTTGATTTAGAATGAAAAATAAAGGCAAAGGATCCATGAGAAAGACAAAGAAGCCTCCCACTGCACTTGACTCCCTGTTTTGCTTTTCTAAAATACCATCTTTGAATTTGGTGATCACTAATACTTTAGGAAAGCCCTTGGCTAAAAGGGTGTATCATATTTTGATTACAATAGCTGCAGCCCTAAGTGGTGTGGAATGGTGAGAGGGGCTGGTGAGCATGTCCCCTTTGAAAAACACAGATGGCCTCTGCCATCTTGTAGGACACACTAATGGACACTGGCCACTGTCACTCAGCTGCACTGTTTCCAAATCCCAGCAGTGTTTGAGAAGACCCTCACGTGACAAGTTAAGCCTGTGAGTCAGATTCTATCCTATAATAACCACCATCCAGCCCATCATAACTTCTCTTAGAATTCTACAGTCTGGCATGGTTAGTTACAGGAGCTCACACACACACAAGTGTTCACATTGCTCCTTCATCCATGCTCTCATAACTGATTTTTATAGGAAATCTTCAAAAGAGAAAAAAAACTATAGGTTATTTGTTGTTTTCCAGGAGAACATTACAGAAAGTTTACTCCGTATAGTTTATATCTCTCTTTCAGATTCTTAGGCAAATTGTTTCAAGTGTAAACAAACGAGGCTCTAAAATTCCTTGATTTATGAACTCTTCCCTTGTGGATTTTTTTCCCCATCTAAAACTTACACTTTTCTTTTTTTCTGTCATTTGAACAGAGTAGAAATAGCGGTGGGGGATTTAAACAAGAGTTAAAGTTAATTTCATCATTTTTTTTTTCTCATTGCTGAAACTGCTTTGCCACGGAGAAGCAGCCTGCAGATTCCACAGCACTCTGCTTCCACTTAGTGCGAGGGGTTCAAGGCGTGGGAAGCAGGCTAACAGGCATATTTAGTCATCTTCCTAGAGCCAATAAAAGCTCACTCAAGTGTACGGATAAGAGCGCCTCGTTAATCTGCTTTGGCTTAGTATTTCCTTCTACTCCTCGCAATATCTGGAAGCAATTTCCACATCAGAGAGAAAATTAGCTAGCATTAACACTAAACTACACCGAGAAACAAATATTGAGCCGAATGTAAGGAAGAGATAATCTGCTCTGCTCAGGAGCACTGGGTTTCAAAGGCAGTCCCATTTATACCCCTCCTACCAGGATGGGATGAATCGGCTAGCGCTGTAGTTTGGCTTCTGTAATTATATTTCCACTGCCTTATTTCTTCTTTCAAGAAAGGAGATCATATAACCCCACACCCAAGATGGCCTGTAAAATGGTGTCAACTGTGACACGCGGATCTTGAAAGCTACAGTAAGGGTTTTGTTCCTCTTCTGAGTGAGTTCACGGTGCATGGAGGCTGTCCTTGTCAAGTTTTATGGTCATTACTCCAGATTTAACTCCTGAATTTCCTTCCTAAGAATGTCATGGTTTTCAAAGCTAGCGTTCTATCATAGTGAAGTAACCTTTGGTGGTCAGCAAGCGCAGGCTGTGCCGCCGGACAGGAGTTAAAATGGGAAATTGCCAGGAAGTATTTTACAAAAAATATACATGTTTGGAAAATGTTTGGTCTCATATTTTGAAATCTAAAACCTCCATAAAGAAGAAAATGTAAAATATAAATAAATAGATAAGTAAACTAAAGAAAAATTACAGAAGGAATTCGGTGGCCATTCATCTACGTCGGAACACAGTCCAAGAATGGAGCTGTGTGAGGAGATTGCTGAGTGCTTGTAAGAAAACTCCAAGAAAACAAGACATGAGTGTTGTAACCTCGGTGTCTTCAGATCACAGAACTGCTCCTGGACAGTGTCCTCCAGCTACTCCCAGGTAAAGCAGATAGGAGGACGCTTACTTCAGTTGTCAATCATATGGCTCTATGGAAAACCACATGCAGCTTGTTCTTATGATTACATACTCTACTCAGGAGACCCTCGACCCTCAGACTTTAAACTGTTGGGTGCTCTGGAGAAAGCTGGCTATTGTATGAGACCTTGGCCCATCTCTCTTTACGTTCTGGGTAGAGCTGTCTGTTGTATGAGATTTTGGTCCACCTCTTTTTTGGCTCCGGGTAAAGTTGGCTATTGTATAAGGCCTTGGTCCATCGCTTTTTAGGCTCCTGGTAAAGCTGGCTATTGTATGAAGCCTTGGGTCCACCTCTTTATAGGTCCTACTATCTCAGGGTCACACTACTAACTACAGAAGTAAACACTCTGAAGTCCAGGGTCTTGTTCTTCCTTTACTACAGTTAGATAGGTTTAAACTTTAGAAATTCTCCTATATTCCTTAGGATAATTTGCTATGAAATACTTTGTAATTCATTTCTCAAGTGAGCAGAGGAAATTTTATCCTCTGACTTTTAGCCAATAAAATCCTCCACATCAGCATTGCCTACTAAGTGTGCAGTAAGAGTAACCAGATTCCACGACTACATTACTATCTTCTAAAGAGGGAACTAGATCAAAGTGGTATAGAGTTCCACTTAACAATCTATATTTATATGACTGATGGTTTATATTTAAAATATTAATTTTATTTTTTCAAAATATACTAAATGTGTTGCATACATCTTGGTTATGCTGCCATTTTGAACACTCATACAACATGTGCTTAAGAAGTCAAATATTTTTAAGTGTACTAGTTATTTGCATTGATTTGGAGAAGCAAATGGTTTTTGAAACACCAACCTCCAAAGCACTTTCAAAAAACTCCGAAGTCAGTCCAAGGAGCTCCCTTCTTTTCTCAAGCATGGAGACCAGGGTTGCCCACGCTTCACCCAGAGTCTGGGCCATGGCATCATACACCTGACTTTGAGCCTTGTTAGCTTCCGCTGTCCTGTCTGCTTCTTGTAAAAGTTCCCATACACGATCTTCCAAGGCCTAAGTCCAGAAGAACAAAAGGTACAGTTAGTGTGTCGTCAAGTGTGAAAACAAAGCACCTCATTTTAAACACAAAAATACCTGAAACTATATGTGATCCAGGAGTCTAGAAGTTAATTTTGTTTTGTTTTGTTTTGTTTTTCGAGACAGGGCTTCTCTGTAGCTTTGGCGCCTGTCCTGGAACTAGCTCTTGTAGACCAGGTTGGCCTTGAGCTGACAGAGAACCATCTGTCTGTCTTCTGAGTGCTAGGATTAAAGGCATGCCACAACCACCCAGCTAGAAGATAATTTTGTAACTCATAATCCCAAATCATATTTCCTCTTGCTTCCATGTGAATGTTTCTGCTCTTATACCTACGAACATGCTCTATAGACTTGTTTCCTGACTTTTAAATTCTTTTGAAAATCTTCACCAGCAACTTTCTCTAACTGAACAAACTGAACCTCCTCACACCATCCTCACCAGGTCTACTGCTCACCTGACTACCCAGAACAGCTTTGTAAAAGATGACCTTCATTGCCCCTGCTCCACCTCAGCTCCCTTCAAATTCCAAGAGCTAGTCATTAGCATAGCCCGCTTCTTCAAAGCCTCTCCTCTTGGCTTCCACCTCACACCTTGGTTTGTTTCCTTGTTGGTCCTCATGGCTTCCATCCCTTGTTGGTCGTCATGACTTCCTGCCTTGTTGGTCATCCTGGTTTCCTCCCTTGTTGGTCCTCATGGTTTCCTTCCTTGTTGGTCGTCATGGCTTCATCCCTTGTTGGCCATCATGGCTTCATCCCTTGTTGGCCATCATGGCTTCTATCCCTTGTTGGTCCTCATGGCTTCCATCCCTTGCTGGTTGTCATTGCTTCCTGCCTTGTTGGTCATCATGGCTTTCTCCCATGTTTTTTGTCATGCTCCTACTCCAGGCTCTTTGTCACCGAAGCCTCCTGTGTGGCAATGCCATGTGGATCTTTCTAATTTGAAAGTAGGACTGTGCCACTCAGCAGCTTGCAAATCTTTCTGACTGATTTGCAGGCAAAATTCAGTCAGAGCAAATCAGGCCTTGGTACAGAATTTGACTTCCATTCTCACCTCTCTCCACTTCTCCTGTAATACTCTTCGTTACTGACAGTAACCCATGACTCAGCCTGGAATTCTCTTCCTCCTAGTCACACACCTCTCTTCATTCCACCCCTACCCCCAGCTCACTTGTCTAAACAGTTTTCCCCATTGGTCAAGACATTGGAGTTGTGGGTCTTCCCTGACCCTCAACTTCCTTTCCTGAATGAATTTAGGGCCTCCCCCTTTTAAAACCACTTTCAAGTATATAGCAATTGTAACTTTCTCTGGGCTGGAGAGATGGTTCAGTCATTAAAGGCTGGGCTTACAACTGAAAATATAACTGTCTCTTCTGATGATAGAAGTAACATAAAGATATTCCTCAATAGTGAATACAGATATTCACTTTTTTAAAAAACATATACTAGAACATATTTAGGAAATGTTTTTTTCAAAAACATGCCTTAATCGCTCATTTTTGTTTTTCAATTTTTTACTAATCCTCTATATCGTATATATAAATACAAATGTATTCTCTATGAGGAACAGTTATTGATGTTGGATGCCTTTCTATATGCTGTAAAGATGTTTTATTAACATTGCTTAATGAAGAAGCTGATTTGGCGATGAGCCAGGCAAAATAAAACCAGGCAGGAAATCCAAGTAAAGGTAAAGGGGAAAAGAAGGTGGAGCCTAGGAGATACCAGCAGTCACTGGAGAAGCAAAATGTAAGGTAGCACCATAGGTATGTGGCAATACATAGATGAATAGAAATGGGTTAAGATGTAAAAGCTAGTTAGTAATAAGCCTGCACCATCAGTCAAACAGTTTATAATTAATACTAAGCCTCAGAGTGGATATCTGGGAACTGGTGGGCAGGAGAGAAGCCTCCAGTTACAGTCTAGAAACCATCTGATACCCACTGTTGACTGTCGGATTCTAACCCAGTTCTTCCTTAACCATGAGAGAATCAGCAAGCAAGAGAAATGACACTCTAAATTCTTGATGTCTTTGATCGCTGGCTAAGAATGAGCTTACATGTTACTCCAATGCTTGCAAACTTTTATTCAGTGGAAACCATTGGGATTCTGGCTCCAGTCAGAAGAAAAGGCTCAGCTTGATGAAGGACGGTTAGATGTCCAGTAGACTGAGTTTTCAAATCTGCTGATACCTTATCTTTCCAAACTACAGAAGGTGCTAGATGTGATGAAGTTTGAGGAACAGCCCAACTCCTGCTAAACATCAGCCTCAAAATTTGTTCCCTGTGTTCTTGCCCACAATTCAAAACAGAATTCATTGTTGTAATTTTAAGTAATATTTTGAGATTTTTTTTTACATTCATGAACATGGTCTTTTCTCTGGAATTTTGCTACATAGTATAAATACTTAATACTTGTAATTATCCACCCTTCAGTTTTACCTAGCTTATTTTAAACTCTAAAAATGTGCTGCATTCATTTATTTATTGTGAGTGGACAGATGTGTGGCATGGTGAACTTACGGAAGTCAGAGGACAGCTTTTGGGAGTGAGTCGGTTCTCTCTCTCTGTAGCGCACGGAGATGTAGCGCCGCCATGGCGCTGTCATGTCGTGGACACGGAGCCTGGGCGCCGTTTGCTGTTCCACGTCAAACTTGACAGACAACTTGTGGGCATGCGCGCGAGCTCCCCCCCCCCTCCCCCCAGCGCGGGGAGTCTTTCAATCTGGCCAATCATAATCTGGCACGATCACTCCGTTCTGGCCTGAGCCATTGGGTTGATGACACGTCAGGGCTTTGTCTGACACCGTATATATTCTTCTGCTTCACGGGGACGGGGTCTTTTGCCTCTCTACAACCTCAAGTGTAAGTGCTCCAATAAAGTGTATTCTGAGAAGAATCCTGTTGTGGTCGTCTCTTCTGCTGGCAGGAGCGGCGTGCTCCATCTCTCCACAGTGGGGGTCCCAGGAAGTGAACTCGGGTCATTATCTTACTTGAAAAATTTTTCCCTGCCGAGCCATCTCACTCATCCTGAACTTCTCCCAGCTCTTACTGTCTTGATACTCAGAAGAGGTGACTCTCTTAGTAAGCTCAGAACTCACTCTAAGTACATCTTCTGGCTGTGACACCCTGCGAGGGAACCATATCACCTCCCTGCACACTGGAGACAACCAAGGACTTCTACTTCCTGCTTATAACTCCCCTTGCAAGTATATCTTCTCTGCACGGTCACCTCCCCTGTCTCCCTTGGGAATTATATACCCTGGGTGCCCCCTCTGGAGCCTTCTCTGTGGTCTTCCCAGACCCTCGTTCCTTCTTCCTTATATGGGATTTACTAGAAAAGCTCCTCCTTCGCTTTGGTGTCAGCTTTAAGTCAACAAAAGTGATACAAGGTCGCATGAAATACCGCGTGCAAAAAGCAGACACTGTCTAAGGTGACAACATTTTCTCGTCCATTTTCAAAGTCTACAGGAAAAAAAAAAACACAAATCCTGTCCTTACTTTGGAAAACAAGTGTCAGGGTCCAGCCCTCATGGGGCCTGCATGTTCCAGGGTAGGGGCTTGTGAATTAGAAATGCCAGGCAGACTAGAGATCCGAAAGAAAAAGTCAGAGACACAGACTAGAACCGGGAGGGTAAATCAGTGAATACTGAACTTGCCCACATTTATTTTCCATATGCTTATATACCCCAATCCAAAAAGTGTGTGTGTGGGGGGGGGGGAGTCTGCTTTAACACGATACAAAGAACAAACAAGGCAATTACCTCTTCAGTACCTGAGGCGTCAAACAGATATTCCCTGAGTTAAGCATTCTGTTGTTTAAGCAGGATATGCAGCAATCATACTTTAGGCCAAGTATCCTGTAAGCAGCCACTCCCTGGGTCAAACCTCCTGTCATCTCCTTGAAGGAGCAGGAAATATACCTGAACTCTCTGACCATTGGTCAAGGTAGAATGGATCCACCTCTGTGGGCCATTTAATACCCCAAACACCAAGTTACCACAGCCTAGGTCAAGATATCTTGTTAGTAGCCACACCTTAAGTCAGACCTCTTGTCAATAACCCTGAAGGAGCAAGGACAGGCCCAAACTCTGTGACCTCCAGCCAAGGTGGAACGGACCCACTTCTGTGGGCTCCCACAAAGAAGCCACAGATACGAAGAATCCATTCTCAAATTGACGAAGCCTCAGGGTAGTCACTAAATGAAACACTCAGATTAATCGACAGCAGCAGCAATATGATTTTTTAGGCTAGTTGTTTCACAGAACAAATGGGGTGTCCGGTTTACAGCGTAAGCAGACTTTGTGTTGACAATGAGCTATGGCACTTTTAAGACGAGCAACTCATGAAAAATGAGTTGCCTCAGGCCTCGGTCAAGGCCAGCTTAATTTAAGTTTTCCTTTCCCACTTGGCTGGCCATTAAACTCAGGGAAAGTATCTTGGAATTGGATCAGAGAAAGACATTCTGGCCAACATCATAAAGCTTGTTATTTAAAGAGTCGCTGAAAGGAACTACTTTCCCTTTAGGTTGCAGAAGCATGGAAAACCAAGGCTATTCCGCGTGTCTCCACACAGGCACTCTATCTCCTTAAGTGTGGCTTCGCAATAGTCAGCTTTAAGTAGAGCATATTTTATGGCCATCGAACCACCTGAGCTGCCATACGGAGCACAGAAAAGATTACAGACTTCCTTTTCAGCGGAGCATTAAATGGTACCCTGAATAGCAATTCACTAAAAGATCAAATACATGTGGTGCATCACGAATATGTAACCTGACAGGGTAGTCTACCTGGAACAGAGACAGGCAGTCTTTTTGTTTATAGAAATCACCTTAGTTTTACCAAGGGAACTGGAAGTAATTAGTTTAGGACCTTTGGAAGCAAAGAATAATGAACATTCTCGGAACTGCAAGTAGTTAAGTTTAATTATTTTTTTGTCAATGTCTGGCATGCAGCATTGGGGATTCACTGGCTTTGCCGTC